AAGTGAAATGCAAAACATCATGCCGAACAACACGCGGTATGACCCGATAACTCCCCGGAGAGATATGCAACGCAACCTACGCAGCAGCAGTGTGTTGAAACGACCATGCCTTGGCTTTCCACCCCCCCCCCCCCCCCCCTTCAAACATTTGCAACCAAGAACATTATATCTCATATAATTGCCACTACTTGGGTTGTGGGATGATTTTTTTCCCTTCAGTTTTATCCCCCAAGGGGACACATTAAACCTCGCTGGATGCCTGTGGTGTGTGGGGGGAGACCACCGTACTAGAAACGCTGCACCGCGGTCGCCGGGTTAGATGGCCCCTCGTCACGCACGTGTCCACAAATAAGAGCCCAACTGATTTTTACCGCCCTTGTTTCAGATTTCCAAGTCCTGGAATTGCAAGCGCACATGGGGCCCACCCAGCCTCTTGTGAAGTGTTTCTGTGGTAGCCGAGCTCATTCGGCGCACTAGCAGGCCTCCCTCACATGAACTGGAGATGCGGTGATAATGGGCCAACATCTGGTTAATGGTGGCGTAACTACGCGTCATCGATTTAACATTGCTTCTTAACGCTCCTATTATACGTATCAAGGTGCGTGTGCAAAGAAGAAATGGTTTCTTTAATTCATGAAACGATCTGCGAATATAACATTTTAGTCCTGTGGAATGAACAAAACTGTACAAACAGAAAGAAGAAAGTACAAGCGAGACGGAAAATAATTAAATTTTAAATGAATGACAACCCTACATCGTGGAAGTTCATGCATTTGCTAAGAGGTGGGAGTTGATTGCTTCACTGTGCCGCTGGCTACACAGATTTGTTTTATTTCTGCTTAAACTTTGTATCCATAAATTATGTAATGGCCGATGTAGTGGCCACTATTGTCATCATTTGACATTTGCACGGTCTTATATAAATATAAGATTACAGCTTTTTAAGCCGAGTACTTAAAGTGGGTTTGCTTAGCTGATTGAAGTTTGCTGGCCGCCTAAGAGTTTAAAAAATAAATGTGATATTATTTCGTAGATGCAGTTGAATCCATTCATTTAAAATTGTAGCGCCACACTTCACATTACTTGGTCTAACAAAATCTTTATTTTTGGGACAATGGATAATGCTTGCATGTGGCCTTTTACCTACGCACATTTCAGCGTATCGCTCGTTTCATTTGATCTTTATAAGTAAATAAATAACATTTAAACGGTATTGCCTTTCATCCACGTGCGTACAGTCCGTGCACTTGCGTTAAATCACGCACGTGGTTGCTGATTTTTTTCTCCTGCCGCGCACCTGATGGCTATGGTCTAAATTACACAGTGCGCCCTTCTGTTTCAACTTTCCTCCACAGTCCCCTCCTTGTCCGTTGTGCACCTGCAATGGCCCAATGCGGGATTTGAAAACTGGGATAACTCCACCAACAGTCTGCGCCGACCTAGAATGTGCCCGCCTACTCTCCACCCTCTGTCCTCTGCTACCCTGGTGTCTTGCTCTGTTGAGGGAAAAAAAAAGACTCGTGGAATTGATCGTTTTGACTCGTGAATGGGTCGTAATGTCTTTGTACCCCACATACCCAACATAGTTGGCATCTTGCCCCTTCCGCTGTGTCTCCCTGAAAAGGCTAAGCTGGTGTCGTCTTTTGCCAACTCGCCAGCAAAAAAATATTAATCGGCCCTTATTTCCTAAATTTATATACCCTGCATGTTAGCAAGTCATTATCTGCTAATTCCATGACAGTGGTTGCCTTTGAACCCATGGAAATATTCGGTGGTTACAGATTTTTGTGGTCGCACAAGGAAACGGAATACGTTTGAAGGCGTTTTTATCCATGCAAACAATTCTAGTTATTTCCATCATCGCTCGTTTCAAGGCCACGAGGGCCTCTTGAGCCGTGAACACCTGCTGCTGTCAGGAAAATTACATACTCCTGTCATCCTGTATTACTGTATTTGTATAAATACTTTATAGACTGCCATCTTCATCTTACCATACGCCCGCTTAACACTGCCGCTGGTCTTTTCATTTGTCTGTCTTTGTCAAGCCACTGCTGGATACAGACCTTCCCATACAGTGTCAGTCTTGGGGAATTTTTCACCATACTTCACCATGTTGCTCAATCCGGGTTTGGATATCACTCGCCACAGATGTCATGGCTGGGAAATGAACCCAGGTCACCGAGTTCATCGTGCAATGCGCTAACCACTACACCCACCACTCCACCTGCTTTTAATTTATCAATGCTGAAATTAGATTAGAATATCAAAAAGTTAAACAGCTGTGTGTCTAACAGCAAAACTTTGTTTTGTTTATTGAATCGCATGAATATAATTGGCACCTCAAACTCTTCCTGACAAAATGTTTGATGGATTTTTCACTATACTCTCAACAGTTTCAACTTGAATATTTAGATTCTTAAACTACTGAAAACATTGTAAACATTCTATATTGTGGACTCCATTTACAATTCTACTTCTGTTTAACACGTAGGCTTTCGCGACCAATATTCATAATATTATGGATTCTACTTCTGCTGCATTGCAACCAGACAAAATATACTTATTTCTCCGTCTGATGAGCTTGATAAAAAAAAGTTCAAATGAATAAATGAGAAAAATTGAAAAGTAAAACTCAACATGTTGCGCTTAAAGGTGTGGTATGTTTCGTTGACTGACGCCACTAGAGAGAGAGATTTTCATTCCGTGACGGTTCGTTTTGGGGGATCTGTCAGAGATAACACGCGCAGGAATGAATGGTAGCCGTGTGCGTACCTTCGCCGGCAATGGATGTCTATTAGAAACACGTGGCCTATTTCAACGTGCAAGTGTGTGGTATCACCCTACCTACTGTGGGTACTGGGATGGAGTCGCCAGCAAGCGTTTCAGGAATGTCACTAATTAGACAGCCGTTTTCATACTCTTTGGTTATATTCGATAAAGTCACGTAGGTAAAAAATAAAACAACAAAAATCACGACGTTTCGGCCACAACACAAGTGGCCTTCATCAGGTGAAGGGGGCTACAAAATCCGCAAAGCTATCACTCCAACCATGAAGAAGGACCCTCTTGAGGAGCCTTTCAAAACCATCACTTTACCCTACATTGCGGGCATCACAAAAAATATTTCCAAAATCTTGACTAAACACAAGATCCAGGTCCGATTCAACACATTACATAAAATCCGTGATCTGGTTCCGTCTGTAAAAGATGTGATTCCGGACATACAGTACCCTGGCGTCTACAAACTAAGTTGCCTCTGTGGTAGTCGTTAACTTGGAGAAACCAAACGACGTCTCGGACCGCATTCGTGAACACAAAGCAGACCTAAAACACGGTAGAACCAACACCTCGGCCGTGGCAGATCACTATTATAATTCAGTAGGCTCACATGACATTGACTTCTCCAAGACAGAGATTCTTTGCAAGCCATCTGGCTACCATGAGAGATTCGTTCATGAGGTTATCCACATATACAAACACAGAGACAATTTCAACCGAGAAGATGTGTTCTGGCCTAGCAATCATTGGAAGGATTTGATAAACCATTTCGGGTCTTAATTGATTGTTCACGCTTACGGTGGCTTTCAGACCGCATTCATTATTTTAGTCTCCCCCCTCCTCTTTTCCGAACATAGATGGACTCGTCCATCTGAATAACTGCCAAATCGCTCTCCGTGGTGCTAACGTTAAAAAAACCCCGCCACTTTTTCAAATTTTCGTGCTGTGGTTTTCACACCTGATGATGATTGCTTGTGTTCCAGTCGAAACGTCGTGAGAATTTTATTGTTTTATATTTTTATTATTTTATTGTTTCCCTTCTACGTTACTTTACCGAAAGAACCAAGAATATGCTTAAGAATGTTAACATGAGTGGCATCATCACAGTTAGCTCCCACGTGATTGTACACAGTTTTAATACAGATCTACCGCCTTAAAAAAAACTCAACACATTGGCCGTACTTTACAGCAGATAAATTTATCACTCTGCTATAAAAAAACACAGTCTTTAAAACATGCTTTCTTTTTCAGGCAGTTTTATTGATGACTCTGTTAAGTTAGCGCTATTTGTGCTCGAGCACCACTGCCAACGCGGTATCACAAAAAAACAAATCACATTTCTTTAGATTCTTTAAATAGTATTCACAGCATTGATACGGTTTACAGCGCTCTCCTTGTGATGACTGTCAATGGCGATGTCAGTGTCTCTCCCGGCTTTGGTTGCGGCAAGACGGAGCGTGTTGTGGGAATCACACACTCACCTCCCTCCCTGTGCTTGTTTCTCTTGTCTCTGTGTCACGCTGGACGAGGGAGCTGAGTTAATCTGCTGCTCACCTGTGTGCGTTGTCGCCGAAACAGAAATCCTCAAAAAATCCCCACGGGGTCTGCATGTGTGCACAATCAATGTCTCGAGAAACAAGGAAACAAACGTGCAGCTCCAGTAAGAGCTATATCCTCTCAAGAGCATTCACATGCAAGCGAATTGTAGGACAGAAAAACAACAATAAAAGCAAGCATTTCACATTGTTAGGCCCCAGACGCGAATCAGAGCCGACGTCTGACTCACTTATTTTTCTGAAGCGCAATTTATAATTCCTATTTATGTTTTCAAAGAAGCGAGGCTGAAAAATAAAGCTTCAGTAAACCAAAGTAATTGCTTCAAAAGTATTGCGCACATAATCTGCTGCTTTCATAACAACAAACTATTTATTTTCTATATAAAGCAGTGCTTTTGTTTTACAGATCTCATTGATTACAAGTCAAGGCCTTTCTATCATAAATATATCATGTTTATATTTAGTATAACAAAAAATATATCCAATTTCCTCTTCCTGTGCGGAAGTTTACATTTTTTGCTCCTCCTGTGATTCACAGACACTCTTTTAGTTGTATCACGGGTAAGGACTTGTTTTTTTTGTTGTTGGGCACTTAAATACCCTCGCCCCCTTCGTGCTCCCGCTCAATGTTTACCCCTCCGTCTCTCCCCTCCTTCTTTTCCACAGGGGTGGCATGAATGGTAGGACATAGAGCTCTACCAAGTACAGGCCATGGCACCACGCAAGCGGGCACGGGGGCTGTGGTGTCTGCTGTGCTGCTTCGACGGGTGCCAGAGGGACGAGCCCCCGCAGATCACACATGGCCTCACGCTGCACCGTGACCACGTCTCCTCCATCCATGCCCTGGAGGCCCCCATGCCCATGCCTTCTCAGGAGGAGCTGGACATGCGTTTCTCCGAGCTTGTGGTGAGCCCATCGATCGGTCCTCCTCCTCTCTGTCCTTTCACTTCAGTCGTGCACAGAAACAAAAGTTATTTCCCTTCTCAAATGAGCATTGATAGTGGTGGTCATCTATGGCGGTGGGAAGTTTATCCATAGAACGACCACCTCCCCACAAACTGGTACTATTTTCTAATCAACCCCCCCCCCCCAACCAGAGAGATGATGGGTTGAGTCAATGCCAAAGCAAGATTTGAAAACTCGCAGCTTTCCAGTTGCGAGCCGCACACTCAACTGTTGAGCCGCCTCACCTATGCCTATGTACAGCCCATTTGTCAATCTGCTGCTGGATGAAACATTGAGGTGCCGTGATGTTGCCGGAGTTAAATTATGTTATTATTATTATCGTCGTGTAAATGGCATCTCATTATATTTGATCAGTAATTTTATCTTTCAAATTAAAAGTACGCACGAGAATAAAAAAAACCTCATCTTCAGCCTGCACGTTTATCCGGTACAATGCGAGGACACGCCCTTGTTAAAGTTTTTTTTTACAAAATGACATCGCTGAACTAAGCGCATAATACGTAGCCTGCAGAACTCATTCTATACACTTGTTAAACCTGTATCAAATGTGAAGACCGCACCGACAACAGGAGCAATTTCAAGAGGTACAATGTACGCACTGGTAAATTGCAAATAAGGTTTCGCTTTCCGAAATAACGATTCCCCAAGGAGAAAATCCGAGCATTTTCCACATACCTATAATCCCCCGACAGTCACTTTGGAGGATTGAGAGCAGACTGGTGGAATTGTTTCCCTATACGCAATGTTTTTTTTGAGTGATGGTACCTATGTATGGATTACCTCCCATCGCTTAAGGACAGTCACCAGAATCCGATATAAATAAATAACTAGTTTACATCTTTTGGTGTAATGTTGAGCATGTTGATTTCATTAAAAAAACGGAATATATAAAGTGGCATTGATGTAAAGTAAAAAAAATATATACATTTTTATAATGCGAATTCACAGCCAGTTCTGCTGAATCCCACTTCTGCCTTGCGGTAAAGCATCACTTTCCTGCAAATGTCGCCGACGCAGGAAACGATTTCCCCCCTCAACTGCGAACATTCTGCTCCACAGAGCTCCGCCGCATGATTACGACACACGGACTCATTGTTTGTAGGGGGGCGGGGGGCGCGGTGGGGGCGAGGAGGGAGGTCGATCTCATTCTCGCCATGCTCACCTCCCAGGAGGCTCATAACGGGTTGCTCGTGCGCGCGTGTGGGAACCCCGGCTACAGGGAGGGGACTACGGGGTGGGGACGTGTGAGAAAGGCACAGCAGGCGAGAGCGGGTGACCCCACGGAACCCACGGGCCCGTGCGCACACACGGGGAGGGATCGCTCGCAGAGTACATCAAACGGTCGCACACAGCGCACACACGGGGAGGGATCGCTCGCAGAGTACATCAAACGGTCGCACACAGTCCTACTTGGCCCATCTTCAGTTCTTGCTTCTATCTGCCGTGACTCGTGACTCTGCCGGTTCTGTGCTTGCTGAGGTCATGGCTGTTCGCAATAGGGTAATATCTCCGGGCCGTGTGTCTTTGTGCGCCACACACGGTGAACGTAAACTAAAACAAGAAAGTTTTTGATTAAAAGCAAAAACCGTTCCCAGTAATAATTTTCCTATATTGTTTTTTTTTACACAGTGTTAAGACACTGAGGATTTATAGTGGGATTCCATGGCAATTTTGGAGAGCGGGTGCATTGCCTTCTTATATTTTTTTACTCAAGGGAGACTCATGTAGATTGCAATCAGAAGAAGATAAAGGTAATGACTGGGGGAAGAGGGGAAATGACTCCCTGTGAGTGTGTGTGTGTCTGGCTGTGTGTGTTTGAGTGAAGGGCTGTTTCATTTACCAGGCTTGACCTTCATTTCAAAAGGTCCACCCAGGGGAAAGGTGGCCTAAAGCGGTGATCTCTGAGGGCTTAACCAGTGTGTTGCCTGGAAACAGAACAGCATTGCTATTGCTGTTGTGTTCATGTGCATGCGATGGGCCAGTTTTATTCACGACTAGAAATTCCAATTTCGTTAGTTCTCTCTGTGAATTCAATTTAGCAATCCAGCCATACTGCATCTGATACTTGCAAGGGGTGGAGTGATGGCTGTAGTCATTGTTACACTGCACTATGAACCCGCAAACCTGAGTTTGATTCCCAGTTATGGCTCATGTCAGCTGTGAATGATATCTAAATCAGTCTTGGCACCCCCATTTACGATCAAACAATCACCAGAGTGATGAGGTATGGTCAAAAAAAACCCATGGCGTGAGGAAGGATGAATCCAACAGTGGATTTATAGAGGGGTGTAAATGTTCATTATTAATTGTGTGGAGAATGTTTGAAATGTGCTCATAAGACTGCTACTGTTATAAATAGATTTCCATTGTTGTTCATTAGTCGAGGATCTCCAAAAATTTTATAGATATTAAATCACGTTACTCAGTGGTATAGCCCTACAGTCAAGTCATGTGACAACGCCAACAACAAAAAATCAAGAGATCTTTTTAAAGAATGTGTAATAAAAGTTATTTATATAAGTGCAACTCATGATGACAAATTTGAGCGCATCAACCTTTTTATGAAACAAATTCAACTCTTCAACTACAGCAACGAGTCATTAACAGTCTGAACTCATGACCATTTAGATGTGTTCGGACACACACAGAGGGGAGATGGGCAGGGGTGCATGAGTGCGGGTGGACAGTTTTGCATACAGCTCAATCTAAATCCCAACATATTACAATCTTTCGGTAAAGTCACGTAGAAGTCTCTTCTACGTGAAGGGACTTTACCGAAAGAACCAAGAATATGAATCCCTGCAGTCACGAAAGCTTTAAATCAAAAATATTTACAGTCTAGAAACTTTCCCACTTCGCCTCATTAAATCAAGCGTGACGGTGGGGAGTTTTGGACTGATGGTGAATATAATCTTCCTTGCTACAGTCGTGAACATCTCACTTCTTAAAGGGCCGGAGTTGGCCCAATTTATTATTTATTTATTCTGTAAGTGCCTGCTTCTTATTGGAACGTTTAACTCTATTTGTAAGTTTTAAGCAGCGTGTTATTTTTCAGGTATGACTCCTACGCATGCATGTGCATGCACATAAGTTTAGAACATTCTACAGTAGTAGATTTACAATGAACACATTTATATAACGCAACATTTGTAGAACGGGTTTCAAAAACACACACAAGACTCCAATCGTGTTTTTAAAAACTTCACAGCGTATTGGGAAGAATGGTGGCGCAGTGCTTAACACACAATGATCCCGGTCACCTGAGTTCGATGCCCAGCCATGGTTAACATCAGCAGTGAGTAATATCTGAACCAGTCCCAGGCCCCACCTCTTCATCAACCTCCACTGACCAGCATAGCGAAGTACGGTCAAGCAGCCCCCATGACCGATATGGCGTGGGAAGGCCTTCACACAGAAGTGGATTGACAAAGGGCTGTAAATGATTATATTCGAGAGCAGAATGCATCACGTGACATGAAATGTAACCAAAGGATAACAATGGTTATATTTTATATGGAGACCATTTAAAAGTTGTGGGCACAGAGTCAAATAAAACAACTGGCACTGCTGGCAACGAGTATGCGGGGTGTGAGGAAAGAGAACCAGGCCCAGCACCTTGGCTGGAGAGCAGTGGAAGAAGGCCATATGTGTCGACTGACGCACAAGAAATTATTGTATGCGGAAAGGGAAGCTATTGTCGTTTTGCAAAGCACAGCTGTTAGCTGGGCAGGGAAATGACTCAGAGGCAGGCTCGGGTCGAGCGGTCTGATTTTAACTCCGTTGTTTCTAAGCCCTTGGATTCTCACGTGTATGAATGTCAGTGGCCTGATCGAACTTGTATGCCCTGTATCTGCTCATCATCATCACCATCAGTCACGATTAATCCACTGCTAGATGCAACCATCCCAAAGGCCATTGCCATCTGTCACAGTTCTGCAGCATAGCAATCCATTTGGCTCCTGTGCACAGGCTGATTTCATCGGCACCATCTCCATGGTGGACATTCTCTCAGGGTTGTTAGCCTTAATCCCAGCAGCCATCTTACTTTCTCACAACTTGCCGTGCCCAAGTCCACTTAACATTCTTAACGTTTCTTCAAAGTCTGTACCTGATAATATTCAGTTCATATTTACCTCCTTTGTTATTTGGATTTGCTTATTTTAGGAATACAGGTCTTAATTACCATGGAAATGATACGTGTTTAAGTTCCCTGTCAAAGCAAAGTGAAATAATGGACCAAGTATTCTAAAATTACCCCATCTCTGTCCACCCTAGGAGTATAAATGGGCACACTATATTGAGTCGATTGCCAGGTCGTGTGTGGTTGGGTAAAGTGTGGGTACTCCTACCTATTCCTCTAGTCGAGCTCTCTTGAGCTAACTCTGGTGAAGCCCCTTCCAATAACAATGGCGTGAACAAGCAAATGCAGGGTAGGACCTTTATCCATTTGCTTTCGCTTAATCTGTTTTATTACCCTGGCAACTGGGTATGAAATGTCTTCTGAAAGGAAAGAATAGACTCCAATATGGGACCACTCGTACAACATTCTCTCATGCAGCACAGATGCAGGCTGCATTTAATTGGAATGCAGCTATATAGCCACTGAAATGAAGGTCAAATCCATTGTTCTTTGTACACCTAGCCATACTTTTCATTAATTGAAGACACAAGGGAACCCATTTGCCCTTAAAATGCTGCATCTTACGCTCAGTCGTATTTTAGAAATGGACAACCTAATCCTCGGTTGTACACATCCTTCAAAGTGGTATAGGTTACAGTCTCCTGTTGGATTCATGATATATTGTTTCAAAATTGTCAATGCATGAAATTGGGAAGGCAATTGGAAGCCGTATTTTACACGGTGTTATGGAAGGATGTCAGAATAATATGAGGTGAATGGGTTTGGCTCACACTTTATCTTACCAAACCACCCAGGATTG